AGGAAAGGAAAGGAAAGGAAAGGAAAGGAAAGGAAAGGAAAGGAAAGGAAAGGAAAGGAAAGGAAAGGAAAGGAAAGGAAAGGAAAGGAAAGGAAAGGAGAAAAGGAAAGGAAAGGAGAAAAGGAAAGGAGAAAAGGAAAGGAGAAAAGAAAAGAAAAGAAAAGAAAAGAAAAGAAAAGAAAAGAAAAGAAAAGAAAAGAAAAGAAAAGAAAAGAAAAGAAAAGAAAAGAAAAGAAAAAATGAAATAGAAGAAAAGAAAAATAAATATAAAATAAAATAGAGCAAAATAAAATTATGCAAAATAATATGAAATTTAAAATAAAATAAAACAAAACAAAATAAAGCAAAATAAAATATAGAAATCTTAAAGATACAAAGAAACCCACTTTAATTGAAGACACAAAAGAAATTACAGCATAAATTGTCACAATCAAAGTTGAAGAGAATTTTCCATTGTCTCCTGTGCCACTCGGTGGGAATTTTCCCAGCCCAGGCAGCTGTAAGGGAGGAGGGGCACCAGGAGTTCTGAGCTCCCATTCCCCCTCTCCCTCTCTTTCTCTGTCAATAAATGTCTGCAATCATATTCCTGAGCTCCAGTGTGATTTCAAGGTTCATCTCTTCCGTGCAGCTCAAACACTAATTATCCCAGCTGTAATTAGTAAGATAATTAAATACTGGCTCACTCATCACTCTACCTTGTGTCGGGTCATGATTCTCCCAGAAGACCTTGAGCAGTTGCTCAAAGCTGATGTTTTGTGGCTCAAACACCACCCGGACGGCCTCGGTGTGCCCAGTCCTGCCTGCAAATTCCAAAGAAAATCAGATTTTATCAGTGACAATTGGCCAGGGCACACTCAGGGTTTTCTCTCTGAGATTCCAAGAACAATCCTTTGGTTCTGTTTCATGTTTTCCTAAAAATATTTTGCTTTAGCATCATCGATACTTAAGGGGTTTTTTGTACAGTATTTTATATTTATGTCAGCTCTAATTAATCTGTTCGTTCAGGCAGGGCCATCATGAAATAAACCATGCAGAGAGACAAGAAGGGAAGACAGTGATGTTATTACAGCAGCTTGTCAGCTTCAAGGAGAAAAAACTAACAATTCTGACAAATTTATAACTGAAAAATTGTAAAATATATAAAATATTCTAAATACAACATTAAAATATGAAAACTTATATATCCAAGTTGTCTTGACAGCATAAAACTGGGTTTTGTTTCTGTGGAGATATGGATAATACAATTGATTATGAAATAATCATCATTATTATAAAATATCAATAATATTGATAATAAAAACAAATGTCAAGGGTGTGTTCACATGAGATAACACAAATAATCCCAAACTGTTTCACAGCATCCAACAGCCTCAAAAGAATGAAAGAGAGTCCAGCTAAACTTTAAATTTTCTGACAGCAAAAATACAAGGAAATCAGCAGATGACACAGCACCTAAACAAATGCTATTCCCATTTTTCAGTTATTTTTCAGAGACAATTTTTTCATTTCTTACATGTTTATGACTCACAATATTATTGAAAGATCCAGCTTCAGGAGTATATGAAGAATCTGGCCACATAATGCACTTACATTTTAATTAATAGTGAGGTTGATGAGTTCCCGGACTTTTCAGGTGAAAAGTCCACTGCACAAAGTGCRTTTTATGTTTTATATCTATCACATATTTTATAATTTAAAAATCAGAAATATCTGTTGTCAATATATATTCGTTGGGAAAAAAATCCTGTTGTTAAATTAAACCATAATAAGTAAATACCAAAAAAACCAAACTGGACAGCCAGATCTGCCTTTTGGTGAGGATATAGTAAGGTCATTGATCACATTAGGGAGGTTTTTATTTCATTTACACCAGCACAAACTCCAGATTTATTCAATTGGTTTCAATGGAGTCAGGGAATTTCATGCAGGGTGAATCTGGCCCAGTGATGGGTCCTGAATGAGCTGTTACCAAACAAGAAAAATCAGAGTTTGTGAGTGTCTGAGGAGGGGTCAATAGAGACAAAAAGAGAAATTTAAATTTAAAAAAAAATAGAGAAAAAATAAAAGTATGTTGGGATAGAGCCACAATGGGGAAAAATGTRATATTATTTTATCAGTTAATGGGACACCTGAAACAAAACCTAAATGAGGCACAGAGAACTGGGCCAGCTGATAGAAGGGATTTGAAAGACTGGGATTAAATTCAGTCTGGAATGTGGAGGACTAAAAGAGGGTGGATGTGGGATATCTGTAATCTAGATTTGATAAAAACAAATTGCTCCCTATCTCAATGAAACAAAGATCTGCTCAATGAGATGAAAAAGGAATATCCAGATTTCCTAGGAGCTGTCCTGCAGGATGTCCACAACTGTGACCCAATTCCCCAATTCCCAATTCCCCAATTTGCAATTCCCCAATTCCCAGTTCCCCTCTGCCTTTTACAGCTCGTTACCTGGAGCCAAATTTGGGTGRTGGGAAGCAGGAAGGATCATCCATTTAAGCAGAATAAAAATACAAGTCAGAGATAATTGGCTTAATAATAAAGAGAAATGRTTCTTCAGCAAGAACTGACAGCCAGCTTAGGTCAGAAGTGGGATTTATTCCAGATTTCGTGGTTTAATGGGGTCTATCAGCAAAAATTACGAGTTTGGTGCCACCCAAGTTGAAAATTCTGTTGTTGGTGGAGACAAAAAAAGGAGAGGGCACAGCCAGTGGTGTGTCCAGCTCCCTCAAACCAACACCAAAAAGAGACTGAGGAGTGGCTGCTGTCCTCAGTGTGTTTATTGTTACTTTTTATAAACCAATGTGAAGATTATGAAAGGTTTTTATCACTCAAACCAACACTCTACAACCAAAACAACACTAAGGAGTGGCTGCTGACTTCAGTGTGTTTATTTTTACTTTTTGTAAGCCGATGTGAAGTTTATGAAAGGTTTCCATTGCTCAGGAGCAAATTGCTTCTCTAAGAGGAAGGGCTTTAGATCACAAGAGAGTTTCCTAAAGAACTTAAAAACAACAGAGGCTTTACCTTTGCTCCTGACTGAGGCAGCAATTACACCTTGTCAACACCGCCTGCTCCTGCTAATCCAGAGGTTCAAAGGATCAACCTCCTTTTTTTCCCAGAATAAGGAAATAATGGTGCCCCTCTGAGAACTGTAGCCTGACCTCATGAAAAATAGCCTCAGATGTGTGGCTAACAGACTGTTAGAATAGATTTAAAATCAATATTCACCCTYGGGGGAAAAGAAAGGAAATAACGCTGCTGGTGCTACCAGATTCACCTCTCATTTTCCTCAAAGCCTTTCCACAATCCAGAGGATTTTCTTTCAGGAYATGCTGTGGTTATTCCTAATAATGATCTTGGCATTGGTGACTTTGTGCATTAGGCTCGAGTCTGAGTGTGAAAACAGAATAGTCCTGTTTTGTTTGTGTTTTACACACTTGGAAAACTACAGTGTCAAACACAGTAGCAACCCAGCTCACCACTCCTCTGTACTGTGAAAAAAAAATTGAAATATTTCTAATCAAACTTTTTTTKTAAGAGTTCTTAAAACAGAGAGGCAGTAATCAAAGAGAAACAATAACCCCACCTGTTCTCCAAAAAGCTGCATGTCTTTAACAAGGAATTCAACAGGSTGACATCGAGGAGCTGCAAGGATTTCAAATTATCAGGGAGCGGTGTGTGACATAAAACTGTTTCCCCTTAGTGCCTCCTCCAGAATTCCTCCTGAAATGTCCATTTATATCGTCATAAATGGCCATTTAGATCATCACCGTGTCCTCAGTTGGCCCACTGCTTTTAATTAGCTGATCTTTAATATCCCACAGCAAAAGTTGGAACAAGTAAAAACATTTCTAGAACCCTCAACATCTGGATCACATTTTTTAAATAATTCATGGAATCACTAAAGATAATTCCATGTGCTGTTCACCGTTCAAATAGAAACCCTTTCTTTATAGGAAATGATCAGATTTTCAGTGCTGGTACTGGGTTCCTTCAGCTCTGGAAGGGGTTTAGCCACGGAAGAACCTTTCTGCAGATGGGAAGACTTCATTACACCGCGGCAGAGAGGGCTGAGTGCCAAGAGCAGATTGTCTGTTTATCCTGGATCCATTTCCCACTTAGAAAACACGGCCGCTCCCGGAGGATTAACCRCGGCGAGCTCGTTCAGCGGGGATTCCAACCCTGGCGGAAACATCCCCGCCAAGAGCAGGAGAAAAAGACATCTGAGTGACACCTCTGMCGTTCCTTTTCTTCTTAATAGCATTTAGATTCTCACCTTCTTAATCGTGTCCCAGGTGAGCGCCCAAGCCGAGGGATTAGGGAAGAGAACTCGTTCTTTTGAACCGCCTGGGTCCAGGGAGAATTAAATTATTATCTCTGGTGGAGTGGAGCAGCTCACAGGAGCTGGCGAGAGATCCTCACCTGTGAGTGCCCCCATCACCTCCACCCAATTCTGCCTCCCGTAAATTAAATTCTACCACGCAAAAATTGTGAAATTGCTCCCTCCTGCATCTGTTCTGCGATAAAAACGGAGCTGGGTGTTTTGAGAAACAAAGTTCTGACTCCAGTAAATCACAGAATCTCAGAATGGTTTGGGTTGGAAGGGACCACAAAAATGGTTTCATTCCATTTATCTGCGCTCAGCCCTATTTAACAGCTTTTCATAACAAGAATGGCTCAGAGTTTGAGGAACAACTTATCCACTGCAGCTCCTGCTCCCCGTGTATTCCATAAAGAATATGGAATTGTTTTCACATCTTTTCAAAGAGTTCTAAGAAGATAATTCCCTTTTTTCTCACCTCTTCCAGGAATTCCTAAACTGCCCCTGTGCTTGTCACACCAGCAACACGAACTCTTTGGGATCACACAAGGGTTTGGGTGGGTTCAGCATCAAAATACTGAGCACCAACATTTTGATATCCCCTTCCCTTTACTTTTTTATCTTCACATCAGCGAGGATGAAAAGAATGTAAATAATCCCAGATCAATAGATTTTTATAAAGGGCCCATGGGAATATTTTTATTTGACTTCCTGCCTAACACTGAGACAACTTCACGGAACAGGTCCCTGTTTTGTACTTCTACACTGGCACTAACTCGTGGCTACTATTTTTTTAACTTTCTTTATATTTTAAACTACTTTAATTACTTTACCAGCACTGAACTAGGAGATAACGCTCGGTTTATTAACCGCTGTCAATTCTGCTTTAGAAAATAACMATACTTTAACTTTTCAGTGTGATCCACACTCCTTTATCCACTTTTATCAAAACATGTCAATCTTCTCCAGCAAGAAGGCAATTTATCACAATGGGCYGGCCAATCCTGCAGTTCTAAATCAAAATAAAGTGTCCATAAATTCTAGAAACTTCCAGAAAATTCTGCCTGGACCATAGAAAATCAAGTGTTTTCTAAGACAATTTCTACACAAAGTAAAACACACAGCAGCTATAGTGTGGTGCATCTAAAGAGAAAATGTTACTAAATTTTATTTATTTGATTTATTAGAGTGAATCACCTAGTAAATGAAAATTTATAAAGATTAGAAAATTTGCTGATGAAACATTGAACTTCTATTTCTGGTGCCTTCTAGAATCACTGCTTTTTTACCCCTTAAAAATAAAACTAATAAAATAAAATTGCCAGGAAAAAATAGGGTTGATGATGCTGGTTTTGGTAATTTTTTCCCAGAAATTCTCACATTTTTTTCAGTAAGCTACTTGAGCAAGATTCAAGAAGATTGGCAGTTTTCACAAAAAATATTGAGTTTTTTTAAAAAATCTGAAAAACGAAAGT